TGTAAAAGTTTCTGCAACAAACGAGCGCTGGCCAAGCGAGCCAAGCTCAAACAATGCCGCACGTAAGAAGAAAAAACCGTCCCGATCTCAGAAGTGTCTCCTCTGTGACGTCACTAGAGCCTACGATTAAACAAGGTGGTGCCTGAAAATGGCAAACAATGTGCAGCGCTCGCGACATGCTTGCGATAAGACCTCGCAAGCGTGCTGCGTCTCAGAGGACCACCAAATATCTCAATGGCGTCACATTCCAGGACTGGATTTCAGATGAGAATTACCTCGTGGCTGAAACGGGCAGGGCGCGCTATAGCGTAGCGTGGTCCAATAACATATCGCTGTCGTTTCAACAGCATTGCCTTAATAGGCTGGTGAGCTTATGGCTTTCAACAAACAATGCTTAGAAAGAGCATTGATGTCGAAGAGTGCCGTCCTTGCAATATATTTCCACGACTTTGCAGTAAACATTTGGATTCCGCGCGCCTGCTCGCAGCATCTACGTTTCTTTGTAATGCATTACATTATATGTTTACAGCACTTCATCTTACCTCTATAAAGATCTCACACGGCACTTAAAACAACTAATTTTGTGCATGGGGGTCACATTTCTTGCTTAATTTGAATCTTAATCCCAGCGATGCTATCTTGAAAAAGCAATGCGTGGTACGGATCTTCTTAAGATGTTAATGAACATCAGAATATCTACACTGGGATTGGCATAGGTGGTTACATAGGTGGCAACGTGGAAACGTGATCGCTAGACTATTTTTACATTATGTTTTAGAGTGAAATCCACTTGCAGCTTGTTTTCAGGCACTGCAATAATAACAATAAAAACATTCTGTTACTGGACCTGAACTAATAAGAGTTGTCCAACCGAACATGTTTGGGAATGGAAACTGCAATCATGCGCCATCTTGCTCCCTCCCGTCATCATCGTTATATTCAACGCCTACATGCCGGGACGGAATGGTCCTTCTCTACTGGCAAAATGCTTCGGTCTGCTCACCAGATTTATGAACTGAGTGCAAACTGAATCAAAGATGCGACGTCCGCCTTTAGAGACCATGCATAAAATACATTAAAACACCAATACACTTATTGTGATATAGTTGATCAAAATGAATTATAGACGCTTCGTTGAACATGATGGTGATTTTGAGCATCTCAGTGCATATATACCAATGACGACACAGGCCTGAGTGAACCGTGTATTGCAGGAACGACAGCATCAGCGGAGCTGAACACTGAGATCGTTCCCGTGACGCCCTCTCCGACGGCGCCTGCGTCCGTGAATACAACCGCCATAAGCACGTCAACTACTACCGGTCCTGCCGCCTCATCTGACACCACTGCTGTTGGTTCAGCAGATAGTGGTGCAACTGGGACCACCACAGCAGCAACAACAACTCTCATAGCCAGCTCTGAAGCCACTTCTGTGACCACAACAGAATCTGTTGCAGCTGGGACATCCACAGGAGCAACAATAAGCTCTGTTGTCAGCTCTGAGACCGTTGCTGTAGTTACAACTGAGCCCGCAACGACTGATGCTGTTGCCGTTGATACAGTGGCATCTGTTACGGGAGAGACTATCACCGTTATGATGACAGGTCTTACAACAATACCCGATGCATCTACTGGGGATACAAGCGAAACTGCTGTAACTGGAAGTACCACCGCTGCTACACTGAGTCGTGTTACCACATCCGAGACCCCCACTGTTGGTACAACAACGCCTGCTGTAACTGCAACTTCTACCAATGCTGGAGCAGGGCCCGTAATTACATCCGAGATCACTTCTGTAGGAACCACAGAACAAGCTCCAAATTGGACTTCGGCTGCAGGAACAAGTCCTGATGCAGTGTATGGGACCACTAATATGGGCGCAACAGGGTCTGTTACGACTGGAATCACAACCGCAACGACAAGGCCTGTTACCTCGCATGAGACGACTTCTATGAGCCCAGTAGAACCTGTTACAACTGGGAATGCCATTGAGGCTACAAGTCCTGCTGCCACAACGGAGGCCAGTACTGTGGATGCATCCGAACCTGTACCAGCTGAAACTGCCACTGCAACATTATCAAGTCTTGTGGCCGTGGGTACAACAGAACCTGCTACAACTGGCACCACCACAGCAGCAATAAGTCCTCTAGAAACAGCTGAAACCGCTGATATGGACGAAACAGAAACGGTTACAACTGGGACTAGAACAGCGGACTTAACAAGTTCCGTGGCCATGTCTGAGACTACCACCATGGGCACGGAAGAACCTGTTACAACCAGGACAAGCACAGCAGCAACAACAAGTCTCGCACCCACATCTGAGACTACTGCTGTCGATGTCACAGAACTCGTTTCAACTGCGAGCATCACCACGGTTGCAAAGGACATTGCAGCCACATCTGAGTCCACCACTCTGAGCACTACAGGAACTGCTGCAGTCGGTACCACAACCGAAGCTTCAACGGCTCCTGTCAACACCTCTGAGGCTATTACTCTGCGCACAACTGGATCAGTTTCTGTGGATACCACTACTACAAAAGCTCAAACAAGTTCTGCAGCTACACCTGTGACCACTGCTGTTGGTACAACAGGCCAGGTTTCAGCTGGGACTACTGTTGGGACAACAAGCCCTGAAGCTACACCTGTAACCACTGCTGTGGGTACAACAGGCCAGGTTTCGGCTGGGACTAGTGCTGAGGCAACAAGTCCTGCAGCTACACCTGTGACTTCTGCTGTGGGTACAACAGGCGAGGTTTCTGCTGGAACTACGGCTGGGGCAACAAGTCTTGCAGCTACACCTGTAACAGCTGCTGTTGTTACAACAGGCCAGGTTTCGGCTGAGACCACTGCTGAGGCAACAAATCCCGCAGCTACACCTGTGACTTCTGCTGTTGGTACAACAGGCCAGGTTTCGGCTGGGACCACTGCTGAGGCAACAAGTCCTGCAGCTACACCTGTGACTACGGCTGCGAGTACAACAGGCCAGGTTTCGGCCGGGACTACTGTTGGGACAACAAGCCCTGGGGCTACACCTGTAACCACCGCTGTGGGTACAACAGGTCAGGTTTCGGCTGGGACTAGTGCTGAGGCAACAAGTCCTGCAGCTACACCTGTGACTACTGCTGTGGGTACAACAGGCCCGGTTTCGGCTGGGACAACTGGTGTGGCAACAAATCCTGCAGCTACACCTGAGACTTCTGCTGTTGGTACAACAAGCCAGGTTTCGGCTGGGACTGCTGCTTGGGCAACAAGTGCTGCAGCTACACCTGAGACCACTGGTGTGAGCACAACAGGCCAGGTTTCGGCTGGGACTACCGCTGAGGCAACAAGTTATGCAGCTACACCTGAGACCACTGTTGTGGGTACAACAGGCCAGGTTTCGGCTGGGACTACCGCTGAGGCAACAAGTTATGCAGCTACACCTGAGACCACTGTTGTGGGTACAACAGGCCAGGTTTCGGCTGGGACTACTGTTGGGACAAGCCCTGAGGCTACACCTGTAACCACCGCTGTGGGTACAACAGGTCAGGTTTCGGCTGGGACTAGTGCTGAGGCAACAAGTCCTGCAGCTACACCTGTGACTACTGCTGTGGGTACAACAGGCCCGGTTTCGGCTGGGACAACTGGTGTGGCAACAAATCCTGCAGCTACACCTGAGACTTCTGCTGTTGTTACAACAGGCCAGGTTTCGGCTGGGACCACCGCTGAGGCAGCAAGTCCTGCAGCTACACCTGAGACCACTGGTGTGAGCACAACAGGCCAGGTTTCGGCTGAGACTACCGCTGGGGCAACAAGTGCTGCAGCTACACCTAAGACTACTGCTGTGGGTACAACAGGCCAGGTTTTGGCTGGGACCACTGATGAGGCAACAAGTCCTGCAGCTACACCTGTGACTACGACTGTGGGTACAACAGGCCAGGTTTCGGCTGGGACCACCGCTGAGGCAACAAGTCCTGCAGCTACACCTGTGACTACGACTGTTGGTACAACAGGCCAGGTTTCAGCTGGGATTTCTGCTGGGGCAACAAGTCTTGCAGCCTCATCTGTGACCACTGTTGTTGACACAACACCACCTGTTGGAGCTGAAGCCACATTTCTGACTACAAGGGGATCAGTAGCCTCATATGAGACCACTGCTGTTGGCTCAACAGAGCCTAATGCAACTGGGTCCCCCACGGGACATACTGCAGGTGGGACTAGCACAGCGGATGCGTCGAGTCCTTTGGCCACATTTGAAACTACTGCTGTGAACAATGCGGGTTCTGTTACATCTGAAAGTATCACCATCGGTACGACAAGTCCTGTGGCCATTTCTGAGACCACTACTGTAGGCACAGCTGAGACTGTAACTGGGGCTACACCAGTTCCTGAAGTCAGCTCTGAGACTGCTGCTGGGGGCATAACTGAAGATGTGGAAACTAATGCTACCGTAGCGGTCACAACAAGTCTCGCATCCAGCCCTCGTGCCGCAATTGCAAAAACGACAGAGCTTGCTGCAGCGTGGACCACGACCACTGCTGGAGAAAGACCCGCAACAATATCTGAGACCACTGCTGAGGGGCCTACAGAGGCAGCTGCAGCTCAGAGCACTACTTCGGCAACAAGTCCTGCAACCGTATCTGAGGCCACCACTGAGAGAGCAATGGGATCTGTTGCAAACTGGACTACCACTGTGATTGTAACGAGCCCTGTCGCCACATCCGATGCTACTACTGAAGATGCGACAGAGCCAGTTTCAACAAGGACAACCACAGTGGAGACAATGCATTCTGTTGCAGCCTCTGAAAACCCTTCTGTGGGAACAACAGAACCTGTTGAAACTACGACGTCTTCCTCGACCCAAACGATGCCTGCAATCACTTCTGAGACTTCTACTGCGACCGCTTCTGCACCAGTCGCAACTGGAACTACCGTGCCGGACAAGACAAGTGTTGTAGCCCTGTCTGAGACCACTACTGTGGGTAGCACAGAGCACGCTGCAACCGAAACCACCGCGACAGAAACAGGACCTGCATCCACATCTGATACCGCTGCTGTGGGCACAACAGGAGCTGGTGCAACTGGGACCGACTCAACAGGTATAACGATTCCTGCAACGACCTCTCATTTCACAACTGTAAGCACGACCGTAACAACAGGTGGGAACAGCATATGGGCAACGTCTGATCCCGCGCGAGTTGATGACACGTTAGGCTCCAGCTCAGATTCCACAACAATAGCCAGTAGTACTACAGGTGCAACGTCTGCCCACCCCACAATAACAGGAAGCCCGGTATCAAGGCTGCATAGTGAAACCACAAATTCTGGTAGCACCACGGGGGATACACCATTAGACGCCACCTTCACATCTGAGACCATGATTGCATCCACAAATAATTTTGTATCGACGTCCGATACCATTATCTTAGGCACCACAAAAGCTGCGGAAAGTGAGATTAGTACAGGCACAATGCTTTCGGTAACATTAGCTAAAACCACAGTTCCGTACACAACAGAACCTCTTATAACTGGGACTACAACAACGGCTGCATCCATTCCCTTGGGAACATTTGAGACCACTGCTGTGCACAGCACGAAGTATGTTACGGCTGGAGGTGACAACGCCGTCACAAGTTCTGTAGCTGTAACTGAGGCCACCACTGAGAGCACAACTGAGCCTGTTCTAACTGATACCACTTCTGAGGCTACACTAGTACCTGACACCGCCACTGTAAGCACAACTGAACCTGTTCTAACTGATACCACTTCTGAGGTTACACCAGTACCTGGCACCGCCACTGTAAGCACAACTGAGCCTGTTCTAACTGATACCACTTCTGAGGTTACACCAGTACCTGGCACCGCCACTGTAAGCACAACTGAACCCACTGAACCTGGTGCCACCGCAGCAGCTACAAGTCCTGAAGCAAGCTCTAATGCCGCTGCCGTGAGCACCACAGAACATGTCGCAGCCGAGGCTGCCATCACGGCTACGGCAAGCTCCGTAGCCATATCCGAGAGAACTACTGTGGTCTTAACTGAATCTGTTCCGTCTGTGGCCACTGCTGCGCATACGACAGAGCCTGCTGCAGCTGGTACCTCTACTGTTGCTACAGTAAGTGCTGTAGCTTTATCTGAGACCATTAATCCGGGAATTACTGAACCGTTTGCGACGACTGAAGATGCCACTGCTGCCACAGCAAGTCCAGCCGGCACATCTGAGATTGCGACCACGGGCGCAGCTGAGCCCACTACAGCTGGAAGTACCACAACTGCCACAGTAAGTCCAGCGGGTGCATCTGGGATTACGATCACGGGCGCAGCTGAGCCCGCTACAGCTGGGAGTACCACAACTGCCACAGCAAGTCCAGCGGGTACATCTGAGATTACGACCACGGGCGCAGCTGAGCCCACTACAGCTGGGAGTACTACAACTGCCACAGCAAGTCCAGCGGGTACATCTGGGATTACGACTACGGACGCAGCTGAGCCCACCACAGCTGGGAGTACCATCACTACCACAGCAAGTCCAGCGGGTACATCTGAGATCCCAAGTGTGAGCGCAACTGAGTCCACTACAGTTGGGAGCGCCACCACTGCCACAGCAAGTTCAGCGGGGACATCTGAGATCACGACCACGGGCGCAACTGAACCTACTGTAACTAAGAGCACCACCACTGCCACGGAACTTCCAGCGGACACATCTGAGATCACGACCACGGGCGCAATTGAGTCCACTACAACTGGGAGTACCACCACTGTCACCGCAAATCCGGCGGGTACATCTGAGATCACGACTGCGGGCACAACCGAATCTGTGACAATGAAGATTGCCACCACTACTGTGGAATCGTCTGAGACCACAACTTCGGATACAACAGGGCCTCTTGCAACTGGCACGACCATAGTGACTGCCTCAAATTCTTTGGGAACACTTGAGACCACAGCTTTGGAAACTACGGAACCTGTTGCGAGTGGAAGTGTTGCCGCCACCGCAAGTCCTGTGGCCACGTCTAATGGGACCACTGTGGGCACAAATGTACCTGTATCCGCTGAGATTACGACAGTGGTCACCACAAATCCTGTAGCAAGCTCTGTTACTACCACTGTGGGCACATCTGAGCCTACTGAAACTGTCACTGCCACAAATGCTACAAACCCTGAAACCATCTCTGATACTGCCACAGCAAATGCAGTGGAACTTGCTGCAACTGGCACCTCCACGGCTACAACAAGCCCTGTAACCTTATCTGAGAGCACTGCTGTGACAACTACCGAGCTTTCTACAACCGGGACTACCACTGTGGCTGCGCTAGAACCATTGACCACATCAGAGATTTCTTCCGTGAGCACAAACGGGCGTGCGCTGACTGGATCTACCAAACTGGCGACAGCAAGTCCAGCAACCACATATGAGACTACTACCGTAGGCACAACCAAACATGTGGAAACTGCGACCAGTTCAGCGGCCACCGTCGTCCATATAAGCACATCTGAGATGACTGATGTAGACATCCCGGAACAAGCTTTAACTGGTACTGCCGGTGCAGATACCACAAGTTCTGTAGCCACATCTGAGACCAATACGTTGGGCACAACACGCCTCTTCGCAACTGGGACTCCATCAGCTGAGGTCCCATCAGCGACAACACTGCTGGTCACTGCTGGAACCACAACAGAAGCTATCGCTACCGGGACCCCCACATTGGCAGCAAATAGTCCTGCCGCCACATCTGCGACGACTGTTGTGGGCATAACAGAACCGGTCTCAACCGGGACTACTGCGGTGGAGGTGGCAAGTCCTGCCACCGAACCTGCCGCACGCGAGCTCACCAGTGTCACCACAAGTACTGCGGCCACATCTAAGGGCGCCACCTCGGTGACAACAGAATCAACAGCAACTGAGACCACCGCAGCAGCTACATTAGGCTCTGTGACTGCATCTGAGGCCCCTGTTGCGGCCAGTACAGGACCGGTTGCAGCTGGGACTGTCGCAGCGACAAGCCCTGCAGCCACATCTGATGCCAGTACTGCAGGCACAACAGAACCTGTTGCAACTAGGACCGACACCGCAGGTACATCGGAATTTGTACTGACATTTAAAACTTCTGCTGATGCCTCATCCCCTACAACAACATCCCTACAACAACAGTTTCATTACACGGTCAAAATTATATCTCACCATAGCTGAAAGTGACGTACGTTCCTTGTTTTATCCCATCGTAGTAAGCAACAATATCTATGGTACAGGGCTGGCTTCCGCAGTCATTTTACCACTTCCATCGGCCAATTCTTTATCAGTGAGAGATGTCAAAACCACAACTGCTGATGGTCGCACAGGGCTGATGTCCGATCCCAACACAACAGTTAAAGTTGTCGCAGACACAACTTCTGCCTTCACCACAAAACGCGGTGGCAGCACGGGTCTAACGTTTCATCATATTATGTGATCAAACGTTGCTGTAGACAGCATCCCTTGGTATGTCCGGGTCTATTTTTTCACGACAGCCGTCACTACAGATTCAAGATCTAACCCCACTCAAACAGCCAGAGGCGCGGCTGAAACGGCATGCCACTCGACTGTGACTATCAGCACCGCAGTTGGATGCCTGGTGCAAGTACCACCGCTGCTATCAGCGCAGACTATCAGCACAGCAGTTGGATGCTTGGTGCAGGCAACACCGCTCCTACCAGCGCAGACTATCAGCGCCGCAATTGGATGCCTGGTGCAGGCAGCACTGCTGCTACCAGCGCAGGCAATCAGCACAGCAGTTGGATGCTTGGTGTAGGTACCGCCGCTGCCACCAGCGGGGCACTGTAGCGGCGCATCACTTCACGAGCTGGAAGCACGAGAAGAGTAACATCTGACTAGTCTGCAGCAGTGGCAGCACCTCTCGGCGCACTGGGCAACGTCAAGGGATAGCACTTAACATCTCACGTCCGGCTATTTCAGTAGAGCAGCACGACATGGAAGACCGCAGGTGCAACATCTGGCGCCACAACATGTTTGGGAACAGAAATAACGTGATGGTATTGCCGTAGCTGGCAGTAACACAGAAACAAGGGGTGATGACACTGCAACAGCTGGACGTCACATCAATATCTGATGGCGCTGCAACAGTTGAGGATATTCCAAGACCCAATGATACCACCACAAGTGCTGGCGATACAACAGCAAAAACGTCCAACGCCAATACAGCAGTTGTAGTACAGAGACCATGCCCGGTGCGCTGACATCAGCTGGAGACTCGAAAGCAACATTTAATGCCATCAAAAGTGCGCTGTCCCATCTCGCCAACAGATAGCACGGGTGCCGAACTTGATAAAGTTCTCGAAACAACGCCTTTCGTGACCGATGACCGACAGCTGCCCACAGCCTCAACCTCACATCGGTGACTGATGGCTGTCAGCAGACTTATGGTTGCGCCGGTGACCAGTTCAGAAAACGCGGGCATCAGCTCCACTGCGATATTGGGTACATCTGTATCACAAACTTTGGCCACAAATGGCCTGATCTCCGCGGTAGCGATTGGTCTCCTTCTTCTCATTTGTCACTGACTTGGTCCAGTGGACCCATGACCCACGTGCTAGCCGGAGCTCGGCGACCCAGAGAAGCAATGGTCGGAGGGCAGATGAGGACACTGGTTTTGTTGCGCGATGAAATCCGTGTTTTAAAAGCTCCTTTACTCGTGCGCTTTATCTGCCCGGATGTAGCAGTCCTTAACGAGACGTAATTTGCTATTGGTCCGCTTTCGCAGACATCCATTAGACGTCTTATGTGAGTGAATGCACATAAAAATATGGGAAAGAGAACGTGTGGAATATAAAAAAACATTTCTTTAACCCCCATCTTCAAATCCAAGGTCCCATATCTTTTCAGCGGAAGTGAATGTTCCTTGAGGCGACTTTGAATGGTTGGTTTGCCTGGAACGTCTCGGGGAGCTAGAATAATGAGAATTATTTCGTGTATTCCTCGATGGCCCATCACATTTGGTGGATTGCAAGCGAATTACTGCGTCTTTCCTACCAATATAAGTATTTTTCGGGGGGGGGGGGGCGCTGCACATGTCGTCATGCGTCCTTGTATGGAGCGCCAGCGACTGCGGAGGTCATATCAGCGCTCAGGGACAACGGAAACACCTGAACTGAAACCCGGACCCCCCACATAGGAGACCAAGGCGTTAACAATTCGGCTATCAGGCCCCCCGCAACATAACGTTATAAAAAGAAAAGAAAAGCAAGGTCCCGCTTATCATAACAAAGGTACAATTATTACACACGCATGATTTGTAGGTACAAGCGACCACCCGCCAAATATCTTTCGCTTTTAAAGCGCCATGTAATGCAGCGTGTTTTGGAAAATCAGAATTGAAAAAGATTAAACCTGATTGGGAAGGTTACAACTTAAGCTATATCCAATATAACCATATGTCTGTGACCATGTTTAAGACCATGGCGCGTTGAACAATTAATCTGGATTAATAGCAAAACCATCTGTATTGTGCGATTTTGATCAGGGGAACTCTCTGCTTTCTACAGAGCTCACTTTCACTCAGCACATTTCTCTTATTTCTGGCAATGCGAATGGCTGCGCAATCCCTTGTCATGTGCGCTCACGTGGTCGTTATCATCCAAAATATCTTTAACTTCTGCAAGTCATAACAGTTTGCAGCTTGTAGCCATGCATGTTTACATAACATCAAGTTTACGTTCAGTGTCTTTTATTTTACTTGCGTAGAGATCACGTGCAAAATCCTCCCTTTCCCATTCTGACAAACTGTTGGCTTAAAAAAACGTAGTTGAGGATTGATAATCAGACTTATGGGCTTTGTCAAGCTTCAGGCATTCGTCATCCAAAGTCCGGTGTTTCCAGGATTGTAAATAACGAGTAAATCGTGGAGGTGCGCCGAAAAGTCATATTTTTATGTAGTATTTCACGTTTGTCACATATGATCTGTGGAAGCAACTTATCAAAACAGATTCAGCTAATATTCCGAGGCGCTTGGTAGCAAATTATCCAAATCAGCCTTCGGGGAAACGGCTAGTATTTCAAAATGCGCAGTAGTTGCACGGAGTTGGATATTGTCGTGACCGTGCACTTGCTTCCGCGCGCATCCAGATACAACATGTATCTGATGGAACCATGCGTTGCAGGGACGACAGCAACAGCGGATCCAAATACTGAGGTTGTTCCCGTGGCGCCCTCTCCGACGGCACCTCCGTCCGTAAACACAACCATCATCAGCACGACGAGTTCTGCTGCCTCATCTGCTGCTGCTGCTACTGGCGTAACGGGACCTCTCACAACTGTGATTACGGATGCTCCTGACACCACAGGGTCTGCTTCAGCTGGCACAACTGCAGCGGCTAGCACAGGACCGACAGCATCGCATGAGACGACCACTCCTGCCGACATATCCGGACCTGTTCCAACTGGTACTACAGCTGATGCAGGCGCTATAACGCTTGCTACAGATAGGACAACTACCGTGACTACAGTCGTTCCTACAACTCCCGCGAGCACGCTCACTGCCGGCACGATGGGACCTATTTCAACTGGAACCACAGCTGGTGCTGCCACAACAGGGTCCATTTTATACGTAACCACCACAGCAGGCCCTGCAGTCACATCTCAGATCGCCACAGTTGCCGGTACGGCAGGACCTGTCATGGTTGAGACCACTACCGTCCATACGACGGGGTCCGCAGCAACTTCTGAAGTCACCACTGCTGTTAGCACAATGGGACCTGCTACAACTGAAATGGCCACTGCCACTGATACAACAGTGCCTGTGACGCCTCGGATGGACTCGGTGCCTACAACAGACAGTGCACTAACATCTGAAATGAATATTTCCACTGGCTCGGAGGGACCTATTGCAACTGAAATTACAAATGCGGTTACCGCTGGCCCCACAGTCACGTCCAGGACCACCACTGCCGCTGGCACTACGGAATCTGTCACAATGGCAAGCACCGCCGCGACTGGCTCACTGGGGGCTGCAGAGGCGGGAACCACCTCCGAGGTCACAACAGGTGCCGCGATGACATCGGAGAGCGCTGCTGAGGCTGTAACAACGGGAGCTTCTCCGGCCGAAACCACCACCGTGGCTGCAACAGATTCCACGGGGATGACATCGGAGACTGCTACTGAGGCTGTAACAACGGGAGCTTCTCCGGCCGAAACCACCACCGTGGCTGCAACAGATTCCACGGGGGTGACATCGGAGACTGCTACTGAGGCTGTAACAACAGGAGCTTCTCCGGCCCAAACCACTCCCGTGGCTGCAACAGATTCCACGGGGATGACATCGGAGAGCGCTGCTGAGGCTGTAACAACAGGAGCTGCTGCAGCGGAAACCACCACCGTGTCTGAAACAGATCCCACAGGGATGGCATCGGAGACTGCTACTGAGGCTGTAACAACGGGAGCTTCTCCGGCCGAAACCACCACCGTGGCTGCAACAGATTCCACGGGGATGACATCGGAGACTGCTACTGAGGCTGTAACAACAGAAGCTGCTGCAGCGGAAACCACCACCGTGGCTGAAACAGATCCCACAGGGATGGCATCGGAGACTGCTACTGAGGCTGTAACAACGGGAGCTTCTCCGGCCGAAACCACCACCGTGGCTGCAACAGATTCCACGGGGATGACATCGGAGACTGCTACTGAGGCTGTAACAACGGGAGCTTCTCCGGCCGAAACCACCACCGTGGCTGCAACAGATTCCACGGGGATGACATCGGAGACTGCTACTGAGGCTGTAACAACGGGAGCTTCTCCGGCCGAAACCACCACCGTGGCTGCAACAGATTCCACGGGGATGACATCGGAGACTGTTACTGAGGCTGTAACAACAGGAGCTTCTGCAATGAGCACTACCACTGTGACAACAAGAAAACCCACGGCATTGACATCGGAGACTGCTACTAAGGCTGTAATAACAGAAGCTGTTGCGGCGGGAACGACGACCGTGGCTACAACAGGTCCCACAGGGATAACATCGGAGACCGCTACTGAGGCCGCAACAACAGAGTTTGCTGCATTGGAAACCACCTCCGAGGTCACAACAGATCCCACAGTGATAACATCGGAGAGCGCTGCTGAGGCTGTAACAACAGAAGCTGCTGCGGCGGGAACAACGGCCGTGGCTACAACAGATCCCACAGGGATAACATCGGATATTGCTAGTGAGGCTGTAACAACAGAAGCTGCTGCGGCGGAAACCACCACCGTGGCTACAACAGAACCCACAGAGATGACATCGGGGTCTGCTACTGAGGCTGTAACAACAGGCGCTTCTGCAGTGAGCTTCACTGTGACAACAAGAAACCCCACGGCATTGACATCGGAGACTGGAACTGAGGCTGTAACAGAAGCTGCTGCAGCGGAAACCACCACAGTGGCTGCAACAGATTCCACGGGGAAGACATCGGAGACCGCTGCTGAGGCTGTAACAACAGAAGCTGCTGCAGCGGAAACCACCACCGTGGCTACAACAGATGCCACAGGGATAACGTCAGAGAGCGCTGCTGAGGCTGTAACAACAGAAGCTGCTGCGGCGGGAGCAACGGCCGTGGCGACAGGTCCTGCAACAGGTCCTGCGATGACATTGGAGACCATGACTACGGCCGTAGAAACAGGTGTTTCTGCAGCGGGAACCACCATCTTGGCTACAGCTAGTCGGGCAGCCACATCTGAGACAGCTGCAACTAGCACAGCAGTAGGTGTCACAGCTGAGACCATCCCTCTTACCGCATCAGCGGGGCCCGTCACAGCTCGGAGTGTCTCTGTAACAACAGTGTCTCCTGCATCCACATCTGAGAGCTCCGCATTGAGCACGATGGTACCTGTCACAGTCGAACCCACCACTGATTCGGGGACGACTGGACCCGCCAACGCTGGGACCAGCACTGATGTCACAACAGGACATGTCACAGTCGAACCCACCACTGATTCGGGGACGACAGGACCTGCCAACGCTGGGACCTCCACTGATGTCACGACAGGACCTGTCACAGGTGGGTCCACTACCGCGATTACAATAGCATCTGCAGCCACATCGGAGAGCACGATTGCTATCACAACTGGACCTGCTACAGCTGTGACTATGACTGCTGCCGACATAACAGGACCTGCCACAGCTGGAACGACTACTTCTACGGTCACAACAGGAATTGTGCCGGCTGGGACCGCTACTGTTACAACATCAGATCCTGTAATCACAGCTGAAACCACCGCTGTTACAATATCACATCCTGTAGTCACAGCTGGGACCACTACTATTACAACATCAGATCCCGTAGTCGCCGCTGGAACCGCTACTGTTACAACATCAGGTCCCGTAGTTACAGCTGGGACCACTACTGTTACAACATCAGATCCTGCACTCACAGCTGCGACCACTATTGTCACATCCGATCCTGTAGTCACAGCTGGGGCCACCACCGTGATTGCATCAGTTCCTGCAGCCACATCTGAGGCCACCGCTGCCGGCACATCAGTGCCTGTCACAGTTGACACCAGCACTGCCGCCGACACAACAGAACCTTTCACGGATGGAACCACCGCTCCGAGTACATCAGGCGCTGCAGCCACATCTGAGACCACCGCTGCCGGCACATCAGTGCCTGTCACAGTTGACACCAGCACTGCCGCCGACACAACAGAACCTTTCACGGATGGAATCACCGCTCCGAGTACATCAGGTGCTGCAGCTACATCTGAGGCCACCGCTGCCGGCACATCAGTGCCTGTCACAGTTGACACCAGCACTGCCGCCGACACAACAGAACCTTTCACGGATGGAATCACCGCTCCGAGTACATCTGGGACTACAGCCACATCTGAGGCCACCGCTGCCGGCACATCAGTGCCTGTCACAGTTGACGCCAACACTGCCGCCGACACAACAGGACCTTTCACGGATGAAATCACCGCTCCGAGTACATCAGGCGCTGCAGCCACATCTGAGGCCACCGCTGCCGGCACATCAGTGCCTGTCACAGTTGACGCCAACACTGCCGCCGACACAACAGGACCTTTCACGGATGGAATCACCGCTCCGAGTACATCAGGCGCTGCAGCCACATCTGAGGCCACCGCTGCCCGCACATCAGTGCCTGTCACAGTTGACGCCAACACTGCCGCCGACACAACAGGACCTTTCACGGATGGAATCACCGCTCCGAGTACATCAGGCGCTGCAGCCACATCTGAGGCCACCGCTGCCGGCACATCAGCGCCTGTCACAATTGACGCCAGCACTGCCGCCGACACAACGGAACCTTTCACGGATGGAATCACCGCCCCGAGTACACCAGGCGCTGCAGCCACATCTGAGGCCACCGCTGCCGGCACATCAGTGCCTGTCACAGTTGACACCAGCACTGCCGCCGACACAACAGAACCTTTCACGGATGGAATCACCGCTCCGAGTACATCAGGCGCTGCAGCCACATCTGAGGCCACCGCTGCCGGCACATCAGTGCCTGTCACAGTTGACGCCAACACTGCCGCCGACACAACAGGACCTTTCACGGATGGAATCACCGCTCTGAGTACATCAGGCGCTGCAGCCACATCTGAGGCCACCGCTGCCGGCACATCAGTGCCTGTCACAGTTGACGCCAACACTGCCGCCGACACAACAGGACCTTTCACGGATGGAACCACCGCTCCGAGTACATCAGGCGCTGCCGCCACATCTGAGGCCACCGCTGCCGGCACATCAGTGCCTGTCACAGTTGACACCAGCACTGCCGCCGACACAACAGGACCTTTCACGGATGGAGTCACCGCCCCAAGTACATCAGGTGCTGCAGCCACATCCGAAGCCACCTCTGCCGGCACATCAGTGCCTGTCACAGTTGACGCCAACACTGCCGCCGACACAACAGGACCTTTCACGGATGGAATCACCGCTCCGAGTACATCAGGCGCTGCAGCCACATCTGAGGCCACCGCTGCCGGCACATCAGTGCCTGTCACAATTGACGCCAGCACTGCCGCCGACACAACAGGACCTTTCACGGATGGAATCACCGCTCTGAGTACATCAGGCGCTGCAGCCACATCTGAGGCCACCACTGCCGGCACATCAGTGCCTGTCACAGTTGACGCCAGCACCGCCGCCGACACAACAGAACCTTTCACGTATGGAATCACCGCTCCGAGTACATCAGGCGCTGCAGCCACATCTGAGGCCACCGCTGCCGGCACATCAGTGCCTGTCACAGTTGACACCAGCACTGCCGCCGACACAACAGAACCTTTCACGGATGGAATCACCGCTCTGAGTACATCAGGCGCTGCAGCCACATCTGAGGCCACCGCTGCCGGCACATCAGTGCCTGTCACAGCCGAGACCGTCATTGCTGCTGTCACAACAGGAGCAGCTACTGTTGGAACTACCGACGTGACTACATCCGGTCCGGCGGGCACTTCTGAGTCTACCGATGCCGCTGGCGCCACAGGACTTAGTGCAATTGGGGAAGTCACCCAGGTGGCTCTAACAAGTTCTGGTAGCACGTCTACGACCGCCGCTACCGCCACAACAGGGTCCGTTACAACTGGGATATCTATGATATCTTCAAGCAGTTCTGCAGCAGGACCAGAGAGCACCACCAATGATGTCGCAGCGGGACCTTACACAGCAGGGACCATCGCAACGGATACCACTTCAAGCAGTTCTGCAGCAGGATCAGAGAGCACCACCAATGATGTCACAGCGGGACCTTACACAGCAGGGACCATCGCAACGGATACCACGGGTTCCCATGACATATCTCAGACGACCTCCGGTAGTGCCATGCCCATGTCAGTTCAGATCACCACCAGCGCTTTAATGAACTCTGAGACTTCAGGCGGGACTCTGTCTGGTGGCACAGTAGAAACAGGTTTTACGACTATGTCTACAACAGTGCCAGTGTCTTCAAGTGTAGCGCCTGTATCGGAGTGGGCCGTTGTCACCACAACGTCCGGGTTGGTGGGAATGAACCAAGTGCAGTTTTCGACGTCTGACGGCACCGCTGGTACAAGGGATGTAGCATCATCTGGGCCCGACGCTACAACTGAAGCTCTCAGTGAAACAGCGTCGGAATCAGACACCACCTCCGAAGTCATGTCTGCGGGTACAGGACTGCAGAGTACCGTTACTTCAAGTGTAACGGAAGTTTTGGCCACAACTGTCATCACCACGGAATTTGCCGAGTCAGTATCTACAGATGAAACTACTGGAGCAGTTTCCGAGACTACATCTATGTCTGCCTCAACGACAACTTCAACAGGATCATCACCCACAATTGAGTTAACACCAACGACAACAAAACTTGGGCGTACAACTGAAGACACCACTCGAGCGGCATCGGAATCTGTCGTCACGGCAATAACTGACTCCACAGTTGGAGCAACTGTGATCGCAACTGCACCTCTGCTCACCACTGCAACGGACCTGATCACCTCAGCTGCCACAGGTCTGGTGTCCACCACTAGTGTGATCACGGAAGCGATAACGGAGCCGGCGGCTTCAGGTGACACCACTGAATCAGCAACACAATATTCAGCTTCTACTGATGTGACTGAAGGATCTTCAACAGAATCTGCTCCTACGTCATCTGTGGATGCAAGCACAGCTGGAAGCACGGCGGACGTCTCCACTGCAACAGCTGAATCACTGGGAACATCCGAGATGAGCGCCGCGTCGACTTCACTGTCTTCCGAATCGAACTCTTCCGTTTCTAGTTCCACAACGCGGAACGTAGGAGCGGGTGACCTGTCCACCGCAGCTTCGACAAGCTCCATGGTCACAGACGCGGCTTCCGCTTTGGTTACGACTGTGTCGGAGGTCACGGACGAGGTGAGCACGACTGGGCAAACCTCCACAGGAGCTTCATCAGCCGGGACAACGCAGACTGGCGTGGCGTTCAGTGCCGTGTTTGCGGCCCCCTACGCCATGGTGGACGTCCCGCACAGTTTGGTCATCACCAACCCGGGCGTATCGAGCCTCACTTGCTCCGTAGCCTGGGGCGACGGAGACACCGATACCGTCACTGTTCAAGGACGGCGAGACCAGACCAGGCAGCATATCTACACAGCTGAGGTACGTGGCGGTATCTTTGCTAAGCTCCGAGTCCTGGTGACACTTCTCCTGCGTCACATCTTACTGAATGGTTTACAAATTTCATAATTCTTTGACTGCGCTTTATTTCTTGTTAGTTCATCATGCAAGTTGCTGATAAAGACTTCCAAAACACTCTCAAAACTATTGCTTTTACATAATTGATGCATCATAATTGTCTTTTTCAGCACG